TGTAACACCCCAGGCCCGGCACACGGTCCAGGCCCACACTGCCGAGGTGTGGGCCCCACCTACATAGCAACCCACAGGCCCTTTTATCCTCGCTTCGCGCAAAACGGTTAACTGAAGGTTACTACGTGTCCTTGGCCTGGCTATTTAAGCTGGTCTGGTGAACCTTGAATTCACGTTATGGTACTAAACTCGCTACAGTATCCTAGCCCAACCGCAATTCGGCCCATGGGCTGGGTCTCACATCCACCCACCCTCAATGGATTTGACGTCCTCGTTGAGCTATCCAACCAGCTTACCCATACGGGACAAATGCTCATGATCGACTCTCTTGGCCACGTTCGTATTTCTAGTTCCAAGGCCCAGGTGCCATGCCCTCTCTAGAGCCATGCATAACCTGTTTAGACTTTCACACCATACGAAGCGTGAAACTATGAGAGTTGGCTCTGATACCATTTATAACACCCCAGGCCCGGCATACGGTCCAGGCCCACACTGCCGAGGAGTGGGCCCCACCTACGTAGCAACCCGCTAGCGCTTTCGTCCTCACTTCACGCAAAACAGTTAACCGAAGGTTACTATGCGTCCTTGGCCTGGCTATTTAAGCTGGTCTGGTGAACCTTGAATTACGGTATGGTACTAAACTCTAGTGCTACGGTATCCTGGCCCAACCACAATTCGCCCATGGGCTGGGTATCACAGAGCAAAGGACTTTTCTATCTTCCAGGTTTGTTTAAGCTTCCGCACAAATGCAATCCCTCCCATTTTGCCTTTTTTCTTTTTAAATTAAACTGACCCTCATATGTTTAGCCATATATAAGCTAAGCCCTTGCTTATTACCTTGGTTGTATCATGTGTTACTGATGGTGCCTAATTCTTATTTGCTCCATGATGATTTCCATCTCCTTGTCTTTAAACTGTCATGGCTGCAGATTCATATACATCATACATGTGAAACAACACTAATCCATTTGGTGATGCTTACAACATGTCTTTTCTGTTTGCAAAATTAAAGTGCGAGATTAATCCCCAAATTAAAGTGCAAAATTAAACTATCTTTTCTATTTGCATGTCCATTTGTTGATGCTTACCGCATGTCTTTTCCTTTATCCTTTATGAGTAAGATAGAAATCCCCAAATCTTGTGAGATTGAATGTATGTTGTTTTTAATGTGTTAGATCAGCTCGTATCAAGTTGAAATTTTTTACAAATTTGCAAATAATTGAAACAAATTCTAGCTGTTTTAGATCAATGAGCAGCATGCAGAAACAACAAAAAACTGAAAGTACTAAATTTGTACTGTTTTTTTCTATTTTACAGATCTACTCTACCCTATTTGTTGTATTCTTAAATTACTGAACCAACTACTACATGGCTGTAGGAAATCATACAGTAAACTACTGAACCCTGTTTGAATTGTGGCTAGCATCAGGGTGGATGATTAATTGAGAAATAGTGTTGGTAGGCTGCCACATCCATTTTTTGAGCTGAATCTTTATGCAGAGTGGTGCATAAAAATCCATTTCTAGCAATGCTTCTGTGTAGGACAATAGTTACCTGGCATGTGTGAGTTTTTTGGTGTGAACTTGATGCTTCTGTGCACCTGTGAGTACATTTGTGCAGGAGAATAGTTGGTCATGAGTCATCTTTAGTTAATCTCAGTTCTATTTAGTTAATTTCAGTTCTGAACCTAGGACTATCCTTAACTAGAACTTTGTTGTGTCTGTCCATTTTCTTATCACTTGCATGCAGTGTGAATCTACAGAGGTGCTGCTTGTGATCTCACACGTTTGAATGCTTAGTGTGTGAACCTGGTGCTTGTGTGAAGCTTCCTTGACATGTGAAGCCTTGTTAAGTATATACAGGAGATCAAATGCATTTGTTCTAATATAATTTAGTTCAAATATAATTTTACTCAGCCACATAGTTTACATGGCATATTGGATCACAACGTCTTGCATACATTAACCGCTCTAGCTTGTCTTTGGAAAGAATGAAATGAAATCCCCCACTGAGAGTCAGTTTCATTAAATTAAAATGTTATCACATGCAGCTAAATAGTTCTTAAACCATGCTTGCAATGACATAACAGGCATTGACCTTTATTTTGATGATTTAAATAGATTGTTCTCCAGCCCACAACTTGGAGTCGGATCGAAGCTGGAAACTTCATTATTAGCAGCTAAACATTAGAGCAACCTCAGAAGCTGATGCCACTTTTCTTAAGAGCTATGTCTGATCATTTGCTACTTTGACTTTTGCTATGTGCGCTATGCTTTGTTGTGCCATCTTAGAGACTATACCTCCTTCGCGTTCTATCCTATGACTGATTCGTGTAAAATTATGTATTATTTGGACATCTAGGGTCCTGGTGTAGGACTGTCTCATGTAAGTTATATATAGTACTATTTGGACATTCTCTGTATCATGTAATCTATATATAGTGTTTGAACATGTGGCAACTATTTTAGAAGTTAAGCCTTCTATCCAGTGTGCGTGTTACCATGTTGTTGGGCTAACTGTGGACCAAGTAATGGGAACAAATGCCTCTATTCCATTAACAAGGTAGAACCTGTCATTTATTCTTTGTCGACATTATTCCATTTCTCAGATAGAACTGTGGCCATCACTTGCGCACATGGGTGCGCGCCAATCACTAGTAGTTAAGATAGAGAGCAAGGACAAACTACCAAAACATGGTTAGAACAACATCTCACATGGAAGCAACAAGTGTAAGTAAAGAGCTAAGACTAGAGAGTGAGGGCAAACTATATATTGAAACACATAATCCATGTCGGAGCTCCACTAAGGTACGCTCTTAGTCACCAAGTCTCTCTCGGCCACTATATATTGAAACACATAGTCCATGACAGAGCTCCACTAAGGTACGCTCTCAGTCACCAAGTCTCTATTGGTCACGTTGTTGGATTTGCCTCATAAGGTTTCTACTAGCCAAAGGTTAGTTATGTGAGTCACAAAGTCTCAACACCGCCACCCAGCTTTTTTCGTCACCTTTGATGTTGTGTACACTACAGAGCTTCTCCACATGGGGTAGGGGGTCTTATTACCCCCCCCACACACATGATATAACGCTGATCCACACCCCAAGCATGAAGGGTCATTGCCTGGAAGACCACCCGCCTTTACCGGAAGATCACTAAGATCTAAACTACTCTAGATCACTAAGACACAAGGGCTTGATAGCCCATTCTCTCAAAGCACTCGGCCTAAACCTCACAAGGATGAGTTATAGTGTCTATTCTAGTATTGGATGTGATCTTGAATGTCATGAGAGGGTGGATGGACTGCAGAAGCACGTGCACTAATTAACTTAGCCTTGGGGGGGGGCACTAGCACACTAAAGTGAGGGAAAACATATATATAGCCCCATTCCTCTCAAAAATCCATTGGACAAAGACTGCCATTTTTATTCATTTCCTCATAGTATTGTTCCATAGAATTGCTACATATTTAGGTACATAGCAAAAGTCATGAATTTAGAAAAGCCAAAATGTCTTATAATTTGGAACAGAAGGAGTATGTGATTTTGTTTATTGATACCCATTGACCCCATCACGTTTTGTATGTCCTTTCAAAGTGATATCCAATCTAATGTGTAGCTCTATTTTTTTTCTAAGACTAACCAATCTTCATATTTCAAATAGAATTTTTAGTCTATAGATATATATTGTCATTAAAACCCAATATGGGTCTAGTTGCTTTCACTATTAGTGAAGCTTGAGAACAATGAGAACTTACGCTCCTGACTTTTAAACTGGGAATGACACCCACGCCGACAAACTATCGAAACATGGTTAGCAGATCTCACATGGAAGCAACAAGTGTAAGTAAAGAGCTAAGGCCAGAGAGTGAGAGCAAACTATTGAAACACATAGTCCATGTTGGAGCTCCATCAAGGTACGCTCTCAATCACCAAGTATCTCTCGGTCACATTGATGGATTGGCCTCATAAGGCTTCCACTAACCAAAGGTTAGTTATGTGAGTCACGAAGTCTCACCACCACCGCCCGGCTCTTGTCGTCACCTTGACGTTGCGTACATTGCGGAGCTTCTCCACATTAGGTAGGGGGTCTTATCATCCCCCACACACCGATATGACGTTGCTCCATACCAAGAACGAAGGGTCGCCTGGAAGGCCACCACTCCTTTGTTGGAAGGTCACTAAGATCTTAAGTACTCCAGATCACTAAGATACAAGGGCTTGATAGCCCATTCTCTCAAAGTACTCAAGCTTTAAGGCATAAACTGCACAAGGATGAATTATAGTGTCCATCCTAGTCTTTGGATTTGATCTTGAATGTTTTGAGAGGGCGGATGAAGTGCAGAAGCACTTGCACCAACTTATCTTAGCCTTAAGGTCACACTAGCACACTCAAGCGAGGGAACCACATATATATAGCCCCACTCCTCTCAATGAGCCATTGAAAAAATTCTGCCATTTTTATTCGTTTCCTCATAGTATTGCTCCATAGAATTATGCTATTCTCTTAGCACCTAATCTGTTCACGGTAAATACTCTGTTCTTGGATATAAATGACATGTAGCATTTGTACCCTGCGGGTCACCTAATTTGTGTTTGCTCCAAATTAAAACTGCATTAATATTGAATATCTATCTCAACGTACTCATGCATGACAATGTAACGCTAGCTTTAGGCACAAAACTACACAAAGTCCTACTAGCGAATTTTCCAATGTCATCAATAGAGAGCAACCCACTTGTGTTTCAGGACTTCCAACAAAAGTTATCACTGGCTACTATGCAGTCGCATCAATGAACGATATAATGGAACATAAAGTTGAATTGAGCGATTGAAGAATAGAATTTAAAATTTCAGCCATCTCCTTCTACACATTTCAGGATATGGAATTGCTACTTGACATCGAATTCCGTCTCTGCTAGCTGAGCCTGCCGAGGGGCATCACGCACTACAGCTCATATCCATGTCTCTCATTCTTGGTTGGGCAACATGGAAGACTATTTCATTCTTGGGCTGACAATAGAGGAGCCTTGCCATCATTCCATTTGTTTAATCTTTTCTGTGCTTCTTCAACCTGCATTCGAGGAGAGATTCGGAATGAATTCATCTCAATACATGTAGAAATGGCTAAGAGGCAAGCACTGATAAACTGGATGAATTATCGTTTCTTACAAAATTGTGCTTCCTATTTGTATTGGCTTTCATTAACATAGTTACCTCTCTATGAAGATTGTTATCGGTGAACAATTAATTTTGAAAACTTCAATTTACAGTATACACAAAACCAAATTGGAGTAAGTTATTGCAATCTGTACCTCTTTGGTCCAGTTGGTCCTGTATGTAACCCACACCAGGATCACGGTCTGCATGAAGGTGCCCCCAATCATACCACTCCAAATACCCTGCAATCATATATCAAACAAACGCCTGATATATTAAACGTCAAGACGAAGTGGCGAAGAACCATGCGCAGAGTCTGTATTGTACGTACCGCTGCTCCGAGGTCAAAATAGAATCCTAGGAGGCACCCAAGGGGGATGCCGACGATGTAGTAGCAACCGACATTGACGTATGCGACGAACGCTTGCCATCCACACCCCACAGCGACCCCTGCATTATACTCAGAAGATTTATTTGTTTATTGTTTGCATCAGTGTGTCATATATACCGTAGAATGGAGGTTTCAGTTAAATATATAAATGTGCCATCCATCTAGGAGCAATGCAGTGTGCTGTGCTGTATACTGTGTATGTACAGAGTAGTGACTGACCAGAGAGGACGGGCTGGATGCCGTTGAGGATGAGGGTGACCGCCAGCAGTGGAGTGAGCTGGGAGACCGCCCGCGACACGTCCTCGCCCTCGGTGAAGATGTAGCTGATGTAGTCCCGGCACAGCAGGATGACGATGGAGATTAGGACCGACAGGACGAAGGAGAGCAGTGTCACTACCACCACAGAGAAGGACGCGGACTTTGGGTTGCCGGCACCAAGCTCGTTGCTCACTCGTACACTGAAGAAGAAACAGACAGAAATTCAGTTCAGTTGCCGGCACAAAGTTCAGTTCAGTTCAGTTTTAACTTTTGGAAATGGAAAAATGCAAGGTTTTTTCTTTTCCTTGCATCAGAAATTCAGAACAGGAAAGGGTCTGTTATATATATATATATATATATATATATATATATATATATATATATATATATATATATATATATATATATATATATATATATATATATATATATATATATATATATATATATATATATATATATATATATATATATTTACCTGGCTGCTGCATTGAAGCCAACTGATATCATGAACACCCACCCTGTAAGTGTCATGCTGCAACGCCCGCCGCGCGCGCAGAGAATTAAAAAAAAACAATGCAAGTCAGTTCTTGTCTGTCAACAATTAATAACATAGTTCTATATATGCAACTGCAATAATGCAGGTAAGGTGTAATTACTTACCAGACAGAGAGCGAGGATAAGGCAAGCTCAGGATCCTTGAGGAGCCCGGCGATGAGCACGAGTATCTGGAAGTACCAGGTCTCAAGGCAAAGCATAACAGCCGAGGCAAGCGAGAGCTTGAAGAAGCTGGGGAGCCCCGAGAAGGCCTCCCACGAGAACCCGGTCCACGTGAGTCGACACCGCTCGCTGGTGACGATGTAGACGAACTGCGCGGCGACGATGACCCACCAGCTGAGGCTGAGGATCAGCGACGCCCCCAGCAGGCCCAGCCCCCACTGGTAGACGGCGAGGTAGCTGAAGACGACGTGCACGACGAGTGTCGCCGCGGAGATGTAGGCGCTGGGCGCCATGATGCTCTGCGCCTGCATGAACTTCTGGATCGGGAAGTTGGCCGCGTACGCGAAGATCTGCGGGATGAGGCCGTACACGAAGACGGCCGCGGCGGAGGCGATGGCCGGGGACTCGCCGAGCAGGACGAGGAGGGGCCGGGAGAAGGCGTAGATGACGGCGAGAGGGACGCCGGTGGCCATGAGGAGGATCGTGGAGCGTTGCAGGTAGATGCCCAGCATCTCGTACTTGTGCGCGCCGTAGGCTTGCCCGCACAGCGTCTCCACCGCGCTCCCCATGCCCAGCTGCATTTGCATTGTGCATGCACCGAGCACCAACGGGCGTCGTCGTCAGTTCTGATCAGTTGTTTGTTTTGTTGATTTGTTCATTCAATTCAACTCAGTTATAGTCCAGCACAGTTATCTAGCTTAGCTGCCATGTTGTTGTCAAAAAAAAAAAAAGAGAAGAAATTGGACTAGTATAGAAGTGTGGTTGTGGAATGGCAACATTTCCCAGCTTCACAACATGTGGCTGTGTCGCCCATTCGAATCTACTTTCTATCTATCTATCTACCTGCTCCAATCCCATCCTAACTGGAGTATTCTATTCCGGTGGAGTGTGTCTGGAATATATATATATATAATATAGCAGGAGTAGTACGTGTGTGGTCCCATGGCCACGCCGTGCCTCAATGGTTAGCCTCAGCTGGATGAAATGAGATTTTCAAGTCAGCATCGGTACTTTGTTTGCTTGTCAAAGGAAAAACAAGGCTAATCACATTTTTCATGCATGTAACTTGTGGAGGGGCCCTCCATGTAAACGATGCCAACTTTCATTTGTCAATGTTTTCCAGTTCAGCTAATATATATGCCTACTTATTACTTGGCGCTCGAATGATCTATGAGCCTCGCAATCGATCGGAGGCAGATTGATTCGTGGTAGTACTACTTCTGAAGATTCGCATATGCATGCAAAGGGAAAAAAACGGTCCGACAGGTAGACTAGTACCAATCACGGATAAATAAAATAAAAGCCGCAATCATCGAACGGTATTTTTTTTTAAAAGCAAATCAGCCTAGTCAACAAAATCGGCAGCGGGGTCGGGCGGGCGTACATACCATGAGGCCATAGGCGAAGACCTGGATGCCGGTGTTGCCGAGCGAGGCGGCGGCGAGCTCGAGCGTGCCGAGGTGGCCCGAGAAGATCTGCGTGGACATGGACATGAGGTAGTTGATCATGTAGACCAGCACGGCGGGGGCCGCGAGGCGCACGAGCAGCCGCATCTCCACCACCGAGGCCGCCACCATCCGCCGTCCCCACGGCAGGGAGGTGTCGCCGAGGATGCTCTCCAGCTGCCCGCTCACCGCCTCGCCGTGCCCGCTGCCGGGCGACGGCGGCGCCCCCGACGCGCTCAGCCCGAGCAGCGGGCTCTCCAGCTTGCTCTCGCCCATCGTAGTATCGATCTGCTGCTGTCTGTCAGCGGTCGTGCGTGGTGCTGGCTCGATCGGCTTTGTGACGCCTGCGCGTGCGTGTGTTTGTGGGCGGCTCCCTCTCTATATAAAGCGACGGACGGACGGACGGACGGACGGAACCGTTCCGTTGCGTGGGGAGTCTGTCTGCTGTGCGCAGCGCACGGCGGCACCGCAGCTGGCTGCTGCTCAGCCATACATCCAACCAAACACTGTCAAATCGACGGACGAGGGGCGTGCATGGGGAGTCTTGCCTGCTGATGTACGTGCGCACCAGCCGGCACCGCAGCTGGCTGCTGCATGCTGAGCCTGAGCGTCCGATCCGTCAATCTGAGCTACCACCTCTCTCGAGATCAGAGCGTCGGTCACAGGAGTACATGTGGAATCGGTACAGTAATAGGAGTAGTTGGGGTGATCGGTTGAGCGACCGCTGTGTGCAGTGCAGCCCATGAACTACCTACTCCCTCCATCGTCTAAGCAATTTTTCGTATTAGTTTGGGACCCGAGTTTGGCTTCTCGTACGTACTACGTATTTGATGCTCATTGGCTGCTTTTGTCTGCATTTGCTCCTTAGTTGTTCATTAGCTGTAACTTCTTGGTTGCTCCTTGTCTTAAATATAAATCAACGTTATTTATTGCTCCTTGATCATTACGTCGAAAACTAATACGATAGAAGCTTATGCATGGATGGAGTAGGATCGGAGTAGCCATCAATAACCGCTACACAGCCGAAGCTCGCAGCGGCTGTGATACGTGTGCGCCGCTTGCTAGCTGCGAGCGGCACGTGGGACAAATAAAATAAAATAAAATAAAACGGCGTCCTGCTTCAAGCCTTTGCGTCACTGATGACGATGAGCGTCCTTTTGTTTCGGCCATCTCAACTGGGTGAAACGGCGTGGTTTCATTTCGATTCACGCTACCTACCACCACAGGCCACAGAGCACGCTGTCCGTTTCAAATTTGTACCGAGTCGTTTTAGCTCCGTGACAAAGTGAAACTCTTTTTTTTCTTTTACCATACACCAAGTTTTTTTATAAAAAAAAATACCTCAAACATCTACAACATCAAATTAGATACATTATTAGATACACTATATATGAAATATATTTGATAATACATTTTTATTCAATATTGTATATATTATTTTTGATAATACATTTTATGCAATATTGTATATATTATTTTTTCATAATAAAACTTTCTAAAAGTTAGATAAGTTTGACTCGGGAGAAATAAAAAACAACTTAAATTTGAAATGGAGAGAGAGAGAGAGTAGTTTTTACCATGCCCTTTCTCATGACATAGTCAAATCTTCATGACAACAACGACCAAGAGCTCCTCTCTCGCTGAGCTCCCGCCGGTGGCCACCCCGGTCCCGGCCACCACCAACGGCAACCCTGCGATCAGCCTTCCTCCCCGCTGCAAGGTCCTTTGCAGGGATGAAGCTTTCGGTGTCAAAGCTCCTCTCTCCTGCCTGTAGGGCTCCGCCTCATAGCCTTTGTGGCCTTTGAGAGCTCTCCCAGCGGAACCATGGATCTCCTTGGTCTCAGCTTCAAGGCGGGTTGTGGTGTTCAAGCTGCAATTCTGCAGAAGTTTGGTCTTCAGGTTTCGCCTTCTGATCCTTCTCGTTCTTCGTTTTTTCTTGGTTGCTTCTTTTGGCAGATGCAAGTTTTGCCTTTTTCCCAGACGGTTGGCTTGATCCTCCAAGCTACCATTAGGGGTTTGGCGTTCAATGTTGTTCAACTTTGCGATCGTGTTTTTCGCTTCTCGGTTTCTTGAAGTTGGTGGGTTTTCATATCTACAATCTCAGAAGCTCTACCTGTGTGAATGCTATAAGATCTTTTTCCATCTTTGAGGCAATGGAGGGCCTCACTTGGATTTGGAGTTAGCAGACTTCAACAAAGAAGAAGCAACATCTTGGTTTGTGATCAAGAAGAATGAACCTTCCTCCAAGCCTAGGTCCTTTGCAGATGCAGTCAAATCAGGACTTCTATCAGGTGCAAACTCAATCCCCTCAGAGTTTTGGCTTTTCATCGTCTAGAATTCCCTAAGCGCCCTAGTTCAAAACAAAGAGTTCATGTTCATCGTCAAGCTCAGACAGTTCATCCTATGGCCCAATCAGGGTCCGGTCAAAGAAGAGAGTCTCAAGTCCACAATGCAACTAGCCCAAATTTGAATTTGAGTTTAAGTCAACCAGCTTAGACACAATATCTTTGGAGGGGAAGCTGAAAGGTCCTAATGGCTAGAGGGTGGGTGAATAGCCTATTAAAAATTTCTACAACAACACTTAACAAACCGGTTAGACAATTATGAGGCGAAGCAAGTGTTGCGCTAGCCTACTAAAATTGCAAGCCACCTACCACAATTCTAGTTTATATAGTTTCTATTCAGACAATAGCTATGTCACTATACTAAGTTAGTGTGCTCTCAAAGGCTAACTAAAGAGCCACACTAACCAAACTAACAAGCTCTCACAACTAGCTACACTAAAGAGCTTGACAACTAGTTTGCGGTAATGTAAAGAGAGTTTGCTACACTAATGAACCAATCAATCACAAGAATCAATATCAATGAAGACCAATCACCTCAGAATCAAAGGATGAACACAATGATTTTTTACCGAGGTTCACTTGCTTGCCGACAAGCTACTCCTTGTTGTGGTGATTCACTCACTTGGAGGTTCACGCGCTAATTGGCATCACACGCCAAACCCTCAATAGGGTGCCACACAACCAACACAA